TGAGATCTGTAAGTAATCTTATAATATCTGAAAAGTTTCATATAAATCACTGATAGAAGTTAGTAAATCTGATGAAGCTTCATATATCTTTCACAGTATACAGAGCTTCTCATTCAAGAATAGTAGAGACTTTCTCAGAATTCATTCAAATCCTCTTATCAGCTTCTATAATAAAACTCAGATACTTGATACTCTTGACTTTAAAATCACTCTTATTAATATCTATCAGTAGTTCTGCTTCTTATAGCTATTGTAATATCTTTCACATATACTCTTGATATTCTTTTCTGAATTCATTAGTAAAGATGAGAATGTCATCTAGATAAGTAGATACAAACTTATTAAGAAAATCTCAGAGTACTCAGTTAATATACTTCTGAAATATACTGAGAGTATTAGTCAGTTCAAAGAATGTAACTATTTATTCAAAGAGATTATAACATGTTCAGAATACTATAAGTCATTCATCTTCTTCAGTAATATGAATCTTATAAAATGCAGTGATGATATCTAGTTTTATAAACTATTAAGCTCATCTAATCTGTGCTAGAGTTTCATTGATAAGAGATAAGAAGTATTAATCTTTCTTTATCAATCTGTTCAGATCTTGATAGTGCACACAGAATTGAAGTTTTTCATCTGGTTTCTTTGCAAAGAGAATAGAGACTGTGATGAAAGAGTTATTAATATATATGAATTCTTTATTCAACAGATTATTGAGTGTCTTTCAAAGAAGAAGAAGTTCATCTCAGAATATGTTATAAAGAGAGTCTTATAACAGTTCAAGATTCTTATCATTCTTTTTCTCTAACTTGATACTGTGATTCACTCTGAGATCTCATAAGAGAGATATGTTCATAATATTGTCTTGTCAGAAGATATCTAGATATTCATGATATTATTAAGAGAGTTTCATACAAGAATCTGTTATTATAATATGAGATAATTTTTCTAGAGCCTTTTTAATATCAGTCAGACTGATGAAATAGATTGATATATAATTCTGCTATCAGTGATTCTTTCAGTGACTTCTTTTTCTGAGTATTTCATAGATATTGATAGAGATCTGTATCAGATCAATAGTCTTATGAATATTATCTTTGTGAATTCTATCATTATTAGAGAATATCAAGCTTCTGTTTCAAGTGTTTAATAAGATGTCTTATTCAGATAGTCAGACAAGTTCTAGTATAAGATTATAATCAAGATTATTAACTTCATATGTATAGATATCTTCATATTAATATTCTTTCACATCTATGATCAGCTTTATTATATAACAGATACAAATGTCTTTTGAATCATCAAATTCTGTGAGAAGTTGAGGTTTTGATAAAGAGATATACTGAAGATTATAATATCTTATAACTGAAGATTTTATCATTATATAGTAATATAGACTGCTGTCTATCATAGCTTTCATATTATATATATTATTAATCACAGTAGATATAAGAATTACATTCATTATTATCTTCTCTTTAAATTATTATCATCTGATCTCTTCAAGCTTCTGTTTATAAATTTGAATAGAAGCTAATCTTTTCTCTGTTTCACTGAGACATTTTTATAGTTATCTTCTGAATCTTTCTCTAATATAATATGATTGATATGAACAGATACTGATTCATTCTTTAAACAAGAAGATGCTGATCTTTCTCTTGAGTATGAAGATACATAGATTAATCAGCAGTTGAAAGTAATATGTTCTGATCAGTTACAGTTAATATACACTTTACATTGACATTAATCAGCAACTTCTTCAGAAGTGATCTCAGAAACTCAGAAGTCTGTTCAGATAGTAAAGATTCTTGCTTATACATAGATATTTAAGTCTACTTAATTCATGATATCTACATCATTGTTATTCCTCAGTGTAAGTGTATACATTACTGAGATATAATATCTTCTATCACTGTTCTGTATATTCTTGAGCTTAGTAAGACAGTTATTCATTGTTCAGAGCTGTGTGTAGAAGTCTTCATAAGTCTGGTCTTTATCTACACTTATAAGAGATTGTAAGAGTTTAAAAGTTAATGTCTTCTTAAGCATGCTAATCTTCATTCAATTCTCTCAAGATTAATCACCTGCTTCTAGAATCTTGATATTGAAGTCAGAAATAAATGTTATAAGAGAAATATTTCTCTGTCAGATACTCTGTAGTCAATCTAATACTTTCTGTTACATAGTAGTGTCTCAGAACAGAATATCAAGATATTTCATAATATTATCAGATATTTATAATACTGATTTATATACTTTCATTCATGAATAAAACTTCTATTTTATATGATCTTTCAATCATTTATTAATATATCAATCTTGATTAATTAATGAACTGATGACATCTTCATCTACACTCAGTTTTATAAGTATTTTCATTCTTCATGATGAGTAGAGAGTGAGATCAGAAGTATTGAAATATATAGAAGTATCTAAGTATTCTTTCAGCACTTTTATATTCAATTCTGTAGATGTTGAAATTATGTGAGTTAGTTATTGAATCTCTTCATATTGACATTATTAAGTTACATGCATATCAGCTATTTATTATTATTATAGTTTTAACATTGCTCAGAGTCACTGTAGCACTGTGTCTATACTTATACTTAAGAGTTTCATATTATTATTAGACATGATTATATCAATTGTTAAATGTGTAATTGTATTCTTATATATCTGAGTGTTAGAACTCTTGAGTCTTTCACTGATATTCTCTTATAAGATCTTATTCTCTTTATAAGATCTTGTTGCAGAGTCAGAGTGACTGATGAGCAAGCTTCTATCTGAGAACTATCTAAGAACTCAGTGTTCACTTAACTGTTTAACTGTTTCTCTATTTCTTATGTGTTGTTACATATTCAGATATCTCTTAATAAATAATTATTTCTGATAAGAAGACAATGAATGTTTTTATAGTATAAGAGGTCTACACTGAATAGATTGATATAATATTATAGATCTTATATAACAAAGATAAAAATATTAGAGAAGGAAAGAAAGAGAAAGTGCAAGAATCAGCAATCAAGATGAATATTTATACATGTATGTGATGATGTACACAGTGAAGCTTTGAGGCGGGAGAATATACACGCGTTCATAGCAGCTGAGAATCGGCGATTGAGAATGGCTGAGAATCGGAGCATACACATTTGAGAATGAAGTGGTTGAGATCTGTGAAGTGTAATGAAATAGTCTATATAATTGATCGGGCGCAGCCCGTCACAATACTATTAAACATGATTACAGTCTTAGTTAGACTGGCCGCTGAGACCATGAATTTCACATTTGGTCTCATTTGGTCTGGTCCCATACATTTCTTAGTGTGAATCCCGCTGGGACTGGCTATTAAAAAAACATGTAAAGTGACTATATATCAGATCTTAAAATGAAACCATGACTTAAAAAAAATGAGAAAGTGATCTTATTTAGTCTCATTTAGTCTTATTCTTGACATAAAGTTACTATTTTTAGACATTTTAAGGTTTTTTTTAGACTATTTTTAATTTTTTAAAAAGTAACACTTTTTGATAATACTCAAATGAGATTTAAAGTCATTTAAAGCAATAAAAATAATTTAAATTGAGAAGTGGAAATCATGATCTCATTTGAAAAATGTGATAAGAGTAGACAGTAAGTCTCACTGAGACAGTATGAAACTACTATCTAATGTTAAAACCATGTAATGGGATCAGTCAAATTGATAATAAGACTATCAAAAAATCTGGTCCTGGTCTCAGACACGGTCACACGGTCAGTCTAGTCTTAGTATTTATAGCTTTTTAAACATTCTTTTAATATTCACAGATCTGAGATTTGAAATTATTCACAGTAGAGATAATCTCTTAACACACACTCATTCTATCACAGATCATCATAAGATTATTAAACAATATGAATATCATATTATCTTGACTCATTCTAGATATAGAACTGCTGACAGGACACACTTCTATAAGTACTATATACATAGTACTTAGGCTTGAGATTTCATCATTGAATTCATGATGAGTGTTCATGTCTTAACTAGTAGATAACTTTATAACTTTCTCTGTGACTTTTATATACTGAGTAATATCATCTTTGTCTGATTCTTCATTAATAGAGATCTGTTAAGCTGTCTGAGTATAAGAATGAAAGTATAGAGTCTTCTTTCTATCACTCTGAGAAGTAGATAAGTTATTTATTAATTATCACAATCTGAGTATAGATATAAGGAAAGAGATTCAGATAAGATTAATCTCATTCAGTTATTAACTTGAAGAAAGAATGCAACCTCTTAATCTCTAGATGTATTCACTTGTTAAAGCACACTTATTCTAAATAATAAGAATATCTTCTATTCAAATCAACATAGAAAAGAGCCCCGGTGGCCGAATGGTTAATGCGGCCACCTGGTAGCGCCTTGGCGTGGGAAACCAAGGCGCGTGGGTTCGAAACCCGCAGGGGATACATTAAATCCAGAACTCAAGCACCTCAGGTTCCTAATAAATACAGAGGTGTACAAATCGCTTCAATGAATCACTCTATGTTCCTGGGCTGGGAAGTTATTATCACATGTATCTAATTGTCACTCCTTTGTATTTTCCTATGTTCTTGTTATCTTGGCGTGGTCTCAACACCTGTATTTCCTCCTGTATAACCAACACTTGACCTGTATTTAACATCACGCAAGGACTCATCATAAGCTCCGCTTGCATATGAGTATAATGGAAGAATAATAATAATAATAATAATAACAACATAGAAAAGTGAACCAATTCACAGACAATTGACTACAGTGTAATTCTTCTATAAAAACATGTATAAGAAGTCTTATTAAAAGAAAAATTGTGAACATCCAGGCTATAACCTGTAAGTGGGAAAGATTGATTCTCCTATTATTATGGGAGCAGCTAGCTATGTTATATAACATAAGAGATCATGTGCAGGCGGAGCGATCGCTAGGGCAACGCCACCAAGGCGGCCGCCGCTACAAAAGGATCCGCAAGGAGCGGGATTTCTTACAAAACATGAATATTTTGATTTTTTTGTAGTGTTTTGCTACTAATTTTCAGGGGGGCTGGGAAAATTCTGCTTTTGCAAGCAATACATCCGCCACAATAATTCCAATCTAGTAACAAACATGACAATTGTATGTATGTACAAACCTGAAGGAAATAAGGATTTCATCAATCTCCTGAATGGCTAGTGTCTCTTACAGCTCCAAGGGGTTTCCCGTTCAGAGGTCTGTAAATACTATAGGTTTGATTTATCCACAGCAAATCAATTGCTGAGCCATTCCATTCCCCATTTTAGGTAACCCCGGGCCCCGGCCTCAAGGCTTGGAATCCACAGGGCCATAGACTAGCCCGCAAGCGCGGAGGCATATTTGTGGAGAATCTTTGTGAGCGTGTAGATTATTTCTCAGGGAGATCAAAGGGTCCTTAACTGAGAGAAAAAAAAAAGGACGACTATATCTATAGTAATATGAAAATGTGCGCGCCAATGGGTTTGAAAGGACTAACCATGGTACAAAGTACTCTACATACAAAGTTTATTGAGGACAAAGACAAGAGCTCAAACTATTATTCCTGACGCCGCAATCGCTTTGGGAAAAAAGAGAAAGAAGTATATAAAATAAAATAAAACATTGCTGCAAAGTATGCAATTAGAACAAGAATACGTTAAGATGCCTCACCATCAGACAGACACATTACTGTCGTTTGGAGCTCTTTCACGATTTTCTCTTCCAACTGGCTCTGGCAGCCGGTAGTGCGGTCGATGGGTTCTCGCCGGGACATTGCAAGTTCCTTTTCATTTGTGGCAACAATCCGAGAGCGGAGGACTGATCGTTTCTCAAGAAGTGATTCGATATCATCTTTCACTTGTGCTCTATCCCATTTCAGTTCCTGGATATTTCCGGAATCCACGCCGGTACCTGCGCCAGCATCCCGGAATTTGTTGATAATGAGGGATATGAGAGCTAATGAGCAAGCTTCAGTAGTCATACCGAGCGACAGTCTTTTTACCCGTTGGCTTGATTCTAGCTGATTACCAGCAAGTGGCGAGGTTGTGGCGGGTTGTCCGAAGGAGAATGAAGCAGACGCTCGACGTAGCTGCCCCTCGAACTGGTTGAGGAAGGCCGCCACTTCCGGAGCAGCTCGACCAACGCTGTAGAGTAGGTTGAGGCAGAGAGGAAGAAAGCCTGAATTCCAAATAGCATATAGCCTGGGTATTGGATCGAATGGGCCACATCCGTGCGGTTGGCGCAGGACATCAGTGAGGCGGAAAGTCGACAATTTCACCAAAATACCATCAGCGGCCATCTGCTCTGCCATCATGGGGATGCAGGAAAGTTCCAGGAGGAATAGGATACTGAGCTCCCCATATACTGGATCTCCTTCAACTGTAAGTTGATAGGCCCAAGAAAATAATGTGGCTGCGTAGCGGGGTGTGTCGCTATCAGCAAGGTGGAAGGACGCCTGTTCGTAAATGCGGTCCGCGTCCTTCACTCGTAGACATGTTTGTAATATTGCTGTTAATATAGCAAAATCTCTAGGAGAGCACTTTTGCGGTTCGTCATGTAAGTACGTCGTAAGTGATCGAAAGCCCTGTGCGACTACCACCTTGATAATTTCTAAAACAATTGACAAATCCGACGACATTTCGGGCTTTTTGCTGACTGCTTCTGGCGCAGATCGAGAGGGCCCTGCAACATGGAACTGTAGGGCGAGGAATAGGATGTTTAACAAAAGCCCATAGTATTCCGTATCATTGTTGAGAAGGGCAGTTTCGTATGATGGATTTCGAAAGCGCGTAACATCCCATGCAACATTCAGCAACTCAAAAACTTCCGCCCCCCTGGCCTTAGCGTCGTTAAGTCGTTGAAGGAGAGCGAGGGCAAATTCCGCGCGGATTTGCTGAACTTTGTAAAAGATCTTTTCATCCGGTATGGTCTGCGAATTTGAAACGAGGCAGTGGCGGACAACCCGTGCCATCGACTTTTGGATTTCTCGATCCGGCATGAAATTTGCGCAGTGTTCTATGGCAAGAAATTTCCAACTTTGAAGAAGAGTCTATGACATGTTAGAAAAAAGAGGTTTAGGCTAGGGAATGCAAGAAACGCACCATTTGAGCTTCAACAAGTGACAGGTTTAGATTGGCTCGTTTGACCTCCTCCACAAAGCCTTGATCACGGGACCCGTTCCAGGCAAAATCATACCCGAAGATCTTACTTCCCAACTTCACGTCGAAAAAAAAGTTTTCGCCAAGCTCTGGGCGTGTGAGCCCAGTGCGCTTCATGGCCACGGCTTTGCATCCATGGTACTTCATTTCAAAGTTCTTTCTGAGATTTGAGTGCAGGGATGCATTATAGCCGTCCACCTTTACTGCGTTGTCAGAAAACCAGGAGATCAGAGGGATAATGGTTTTGAAAAATGTTAGATCCCGTGATTCTTTCGCACTGTGCAAGTAGACAGCGCATATATCTGCAACTAATGATGCGATTTTCGTATTGAGGCATTGCTCTAGAGGAGGGCATTTGCGAAGATCCAAGTTAGCAACGAAATTCACGATTTTCGGGACGAATTCCGAATGATTTTTAATCTGAGGTGTAGCCCAAAGCCAGTGTTCCTGCGCTCTTGCAACAAAATCTAGGGCAGATATCGCTATTTGAGGCTGAATTGAGTCGATTTTCGTTAATAAATCGAGGGAAATCCCCAAAAACGGTTGTCCAGTCATAGTCGAAGATTTATCTTTGTCGTTCTTTTTTAAGGAATCTCTCGCAGATGAGCCTGTGAGAAAAAAAACTGCAAGCCATTGTTGGCGTTTGCTAATTATCGTGGAAAGTAGATCCCATATTGAAGCATAAAGTGCAGGGTTTTTGAAAGGGCGATCGAATTTCGAAAGGCAGTCGAGAAAGTAGCGGGATGATTTGGCTCCTAGGTGGCCAAGAACAGAGGGTGGCTCGTGATTCGAATCTGAAGCTGCATACGATATCAGGAGTTCAAGGAGAGAAACAACAGGGAGTTGATAATCATAGGATAGAGCGTATAGTCGAATCAGCACAGGTGACGCTTTGAATAATTGGGTTTCAAGCATCGACATTGGAGATCCGACTAATCTTCCTGCTTGCGCCAACCGTTCCGAAAGTGCTAATGCAGACTGGATGTGTTGGGTATGGAGTTGGAGGTTTCGAAGGTCACTGCTCGAGCTGGAAGTTTGAAGACTGATGAGAATAGTGCGGAGGAGTGGATTAAAAGGCAGCTCTTCGATTGTTGTCGGTCGAAGTACTTTCAATATATATGTTGCTGAGCTTGAGAATACTCCCACCAACTTAGAATCCAGGTCGGATGTGTCGTCAGTCGCATACATGCTGTATAGGATTTTTTCAATAGTGAGGGCAAGACATGTATTAATTTCAAGTTGTTGGCAGATGTCATTGAATCTCCAAGTCGTGTTGCTATTGTACGCCTCAACCATCACGCGCACCAAGGCCAATAAAAAGTTGCGCATGATATAGGGCGGGATACCTGCACTGAACTCGGTGAGATGGTTGGACTTAGCAGATACTCGCCCTGCAGAGCGACGAACTCCAGAATGAACGATGACATCATTAACCAGGAGGTCAAACATTTGAACCGAAGCCTGAAGGAAACTGAAATCCCCAGAGGTAGCCTCGATGGACGAGACAATAGTGACTAGCATACCACCTTTCCCATCTGAGCAAATAAAGCTGCTCCTGGACAGGAAAGGCCATACGCGGCCGGGAATAACTGGTATAAGAGCGTTTATAAAGCGAAGGCAAGAGATAACCGGTTGAAGATTGCGGCTCGAACCTCTCTTGCTAATAGTGTTTTGCAGATTCCGTTCGAAAATCTCGAAAACAACGGAAATGATATCACCATGGCGATCGAGCCCGTCGCTAGCCATCTCGAGAATTCTTTTAGCACCTGACTCAGTGCCATTGCGTTTCGAAATAGTTTGTGCGGATGTGATTAGATCAGCGAAGAGGCCTATGATTTCGGCGACCACCTCATCTTCTGGTTCTTGCTCTGATCTGCGACTATTAGTAGCTTGCTCTAGCCATAACCCGAGGAAGCCAAGGCAGTTATAGTCATGATGCCACATTATTACGGCCGGTTTTGAGTCGTTGACAACCTGGCCGACGGCATCTTGGGGGATAACACAGGACTCAGCAAGAACTACCGCATTAGAACTCGATTCATATCCGACTGTGCTTTTCGACATGGCAGTTTCTTGCATAGGCAATGGCTGGATTAGGCCAACGAAATTGGCATTTTCATCTTCTCGGATGGGTTGGTATCCTTGGAAGCCAGGAGCGACAATTTGTGTGTAGGTTTCCATGCTCTCCAGTTCCTGGGCAATGTATGGTAGGCCATCATCATTAACGACGCTAGAGCCTGACAGGGCCCGGCATATTTTCAAAAAATTAATAGCTTCGTACGGAAATCGGGATTTGGCAACTCGAAAAATTCTATCAATGAGCACCGGATCTTGAATAAACATAGATCTCGGATCGCAACCATCATTCAGCTCTGGACTGGCAAGTTCATTGCAAACATCGGTAGGGCCAGAGATAATACACAGGACAGACGACACCACTTCAGGGATATAATCCAAATGCTCAACACTCGCACGGATCAAATCCAAGAGTTCTACCCTTATCCAACGGCTTAGCATGCCACTGTCACCAGCACCCGAAATTGGCCTAAGGCTTTCGACTAGAGCAACAATAAAGTCAAATACATGACATTTATCGACGGAGCTAGTCACAAGAAGCCTCACAAAGTCGTCATCAAAAGCTGGGTTACGAGCCTTCTCAAAAATATCTTCAAAAATGGACTGCTCAGCAACTCGCGATGGAGAAGAGGACGGGGCGTTGTTGTTGTTGAAAGAGTCAACAGCATGCTGGGCTTGCTGAAGTTCACGCTCCTCTTTCGTGGAGAGCGCAATCTCCCTTACTGCAAACATAACAATGGCGAATGCAAAAATCATAGGGGCGGCAGTTAAACAGCCCACATTGGCTGCCTTCAAACATATTTCGTTTATTTCGGCGATATTATCGCGAGACATGAAAAAAGGGGCTTTACCAGTTGAGGGTTCTGGGATTGTAGACAAGTGCGGCACCGTTTCAAAATATGAGGTAGATTCTCGTAGCTTGACAAAAGATAGAGTAGCAACCGCAATGAGAGCCTGAAGAGGACCAAGTATGATATTCTGTTCTTCCATAGCCTGTAAAATTTCTAGTTAGGCATGTGAGGAGCACATTCACAGGACTAAAACTTACCGGGAGTAGGATTTCAAGGAAATCATATTCGGCCATTAAACGTAGCCAAGAAAGGAAGAGCTCCGCGGATGGGATGGCATTCGAGGATTGAAGTTGAAGCACAAGGAATTGAAGGATTTGGTTAAGCTCCTCAAGAACGTTCGTTTGCCAGGCCAGCTCGATTTCCACATTGGGTTCGTCAGGAAGAAGCCACCCACTCCCAGCTTCTAAATTACCAATTCGGGTTCGAACAGCCTCAATGCACTGTTTTATAGAAACGGCATCAGTGCCTTTCCCGGATTGAAGCCCAAATATGGATTTTCCTAGTTCTTCTAGTTTCGTCTGAGCACGTTCAACTCGTGGTTTTCGGGAATCCACGTAATGGCTACCAGGTGCTCTTTTACGCAAAGCCACACATAAAAGTCGCAGAGAAGTTTTGAGTATATGCTGTTTTTCCGACAAATATAGCTGGAATAACTTCAAATGCCTTAATTCCTCTTCTGAAAACCCATTTGGCTGGAGGTTTGTTTCCCCCTTGTATTTTAGAATTTCAGTAGCCTGGGCTCCCTTAGTAGACTGCGAAAGGTTGCCAAGTCCAATCGCACCTTGAAGGCTTGTCGTCTCCTCCTCGGAAAATTCGCTCAGAAGCTGGTCACCGGGTCGATTTTGGCGTTCGTACACAACAATTCTGAGTGCAGAAATCTCATTGATCTGTGTCCGCTTGCTTAACCACGTCGCGTCACTTTTTATTTCGTCTAAATTCCAAGGACCCTTAATACCTGTTGGCACATGAATGGCAGCAGTTTTGGACTGAAAATCGGACTTAGATTTTTCATTCGGAGGAGTAAACGGGTTCAAGGGATTAGAAAGAATTCGGATGCTCTCCGGGCAAGACAAAAATTTGTAGAGACTGTCAGCTTCCCCGACATCTGTCTTTGCATTCGCCAACCGTAGAAAAGCCGATTTCCATGATCTAATGTGCAATCCGGTCAGTAATTTTCCTATGGTAGCTGATAACTGGCAGACATACATAAGTTGGAAGTCCCCAGAGAAGCATTCGTCCAGGGACGGAAAATACACGGCTGGCGGTGGAGCCATATGGTTCTCTATTATATCATGGCCCGTCACCGAGAACGTGTCGTGAGATATTACTCTAGTCGCGCTTGAGAAGCACAACAGGACCAGATGTCACAACCAAAGGCCTCACTCAAGCTTAATTGTATTTGCGCGGGTTGAATCAACAAAAGATTAACTAACTCATTTAAGCTTAGTGGATCCCTAGTTACCGGAAGCGGATAAATCTATATCCGACCACATTTTCTTCGCGGCTTCGAGAGTTAACTAAGTTTAAAGCATCTCTATACAATATATATAAATTGAAAAGGGAAGAGAGTATTAACTTTATTACCAGCATGCAAAGAACTTCTATTCTCACTGCAAATTATCTCGATCAATCAAATTTCCTCAATCATTGCTGCAGTTTGGTGCCTGGGATTTGAGTGGAGGCGAACTTACACTTTAAGCCTTTGAAAATCGGGGCTGTGGTTGGTTGAAAGGCCCATCAGCGCCTTGAGTAATTGACCAGCACTGCTGCAGTACGCAGTATTCATACCGGAAATTAGTGGCTCCGAATAACAGTAGATTCACTGTGTCATCACTGTAATCAATGTCAAAATGTTTCAAAAAAAGTTATACATAAACAATCATTAATCTTTTCACAATGTGCAATTAATTAGAAATTGTTAATATATTAATAATATATCAGTTAAATTGTAATGAGCTAGACACACTCAAATCACACAATATTAATAATCAGAGTACAATAAGATTATGATTAAATATAAAAATAAGTACTTATAGATAATTATTCAGAGATTCACAGCTTGATATAATATATACTAATAATTTACTAAAAGTATTCACAGTAGAAAAATAAATATAAAAAATAAATATATAATAATATTCAAGTTGAGTTGTGAATAATAGTTACAAACTTCAGTTTATATAATTATATATAATTAAGAGTCACTAACTCTATTAATTATATAAGAGATTAGAATAAAAATAAAAAAATTATGAAAAATAGAATTTCTTATATATCTCTCTTTTTTTAAAGTTTTATTCATGAATTTTTTCAGTGAATAATTTTATAAAATCAGACTCAGTATTATAGTAATACTTATTAAAAACTCTTCATATTTATAAAATAAAATCTTAGTAAGAAAAAATCTTTAATTAGTATAATTACTGTAAAAAGAAAAAAGTCTATCACTCAGTTTTTTATTCTGTGAAATTTTTATATAATTTACAGATTTTTCTCTGACTATTATACTAATTTATTTCATATTTTTTATTTAAAAAAGTTTCAGTTAACTTTTAATTATTCTTGTAAAAATTAATGATTTCATATAATAATTTACCTTTTATGAAATTATTTTCATTAAAAAAAATATTTACAAGTTGATTTTTCACTAATTTTTATAAATCATTATTTTTATTATTATTATTATTATTATTATTTTATTATACTTATATACAAGTAAAACTTATAATGAGTTGTTGTATAATATTAAATACAGATTAAATATTAATTATATGAAAGAAAATACAGATATTAAAATTATATCATAATATTAAAAAATATAGAAAATACAAAGAACCGTGGTGAAATTACTAAGTTGAAATAGTATATTAATGATAAAGATAAGAAAGACTAGACTGATTATATAACTGTGTCTGAGATCAGAACTAGATTTTTTAATAGTCTTATTATCAATTCAACTGATCTCATTACATGGTTTTAATATTAGATAGTAGTCTTATACTGTTTCAGTGAGACTTGCTGTCTACTCTTGTCTAGACTGACTGTGTGACTGTATCTGAGACCAGAATCAGATTTTTTGATAATCTTATTACTAATTCAACTGATCTCATTACATAGTTTTAACATTAGATAGTAGTCTTATACTGTCTCAGTAAGACTTACTATCTACTCTTATCACATTTTTTAAATGAGATTATGATTTTCACTTCTCAATTTAAATTATTTTTATTGCTTTAAATGACTTTAAATCTCATTTAAGTGTTATCAAAAAGCATTACTTTTTAAAAAATTAAAAATAGTCTAAAAAAAACCTTAAAATATCTAAAAATAGTAACTTTACATCAAGAATGAAACTAAATAAAATCAAATAAGACTACTTTCTCATTTTTTTCAAGTCATGATTTCATTTTAAGATCTCATATATAGTCACTTTGCATGTTTTTTTAATGACTAGTCTCAGTGAGATTCACATCAAGAAATGTATGAGATCAGATTAAATGAGATTAAATGTGAAATTCATGATTTCAGCAGTCAATCTACTCTTGTCACATTTTTCAAATGAGATCATGATTTTCACTTCTCAATTTAAATTATTTTTATTGCTTTAAATGACTTTAAATCTCATTTGAGTGTTATCAAAAAGCATTACTTTTTAAAAAATTAAAAATAGTCTAAAAAAAACCTTAAAATGTCTAAAAATAGTAACTTTATGCCAAGAATGAAACTAAATGGGATCAAATGAGACCACTTTCTCATTTTTTTCAAGTCATGATTTCATTTTAAGATCTGATATATAGTCACTTTATATGTTTTTTTGATAGCCAGTCCCAGCGGGATTCATGTCAGGAAATATATGGGACCAGACCAAATGGGACCAAACATGAAATTCATGGTCCCGGCGGCCAGTCTAAGAAAGACGTGTATTTGAATGATAATTGAACGAAAAAGATGTGTATTGGATGATAATTGAATGATTCTAGAGCAACATGGATATTTTGATTTTTTTGTGGTGTTTTGCTACTAATTTTCAGAGGGGGCTGGGAAAATTCTGTTTTCGCAAGCAATACGCCCGCCACAATATATCAAAAATATGCTGCAGTCCCATTTACGGCAGCGCAGTATGAGGCTGCTCCTTGACTACACTTCAGTTCTCATGATTCCACTTCCTTCGTCTGTCTTTGCTCTGCCGAAGCAGTGGAACTACTCGATCTGCAGTGCCTGCCGGTATCCCTGTTTGTGGTTCAAACCTCAACCAGTTCTCGCTCGGGGGTAGGACGCATCCTTCTCCGTCTTTTCGCGGTAGACGCTCGGTGTCGTCCATCCTTTCCTCCCATCGTTTCCCACATTTGGCCTTGAAAAACTTGGTGAAGGCTCCGAATGCGAACTCCCATGTACTTCCAGTCGGCGCAAGAAACGCCGATCCAGCCCTTCCAACCCGAGTGTATTTCACCAACGCTACATAGGCATGAGGGCTTGAATCAGATTCGTAGAGCTGTATTGTATGTTTAGTGGGAGATATGAAAATCGGATACGGAGACAAGAGAGAATTGCTAGCAATTCGAACCCAGTGTTTTTTCATTCATACTTGAAGGGTATGTTTTTCTTTGAACCTGACGTCTTCCAGAGGGCGCACAAGAGTCACAAGATAACAAAATCCTTCAGAATCGGTAAATATATGATGGTCGTCTATTAATCACCAGTGAGCAGAGTATGAAACGAGTGTCTACCGGGTCTACAAAGAGCTGCACTGACCAACCTCATTTCCCGGACCATGGTTACGCCGTTGCTTTTTCAAGCAGTCTGTTGCCATGTTTCATTTATTTAGTACCTTGATAGCGGGAATTGTCGTTGCACGATTTCAGTAAGTGAAGCAACATACTGGAGCCTACGCCATCAATATTCTTGGAGGCATTCTTGCGCTTTCCTGTATCCCTCTTGCAGGTGCCTCGTGTTTGGTACCACAGATATTCATTCTCACGTTTGGGTCGCCTGGTTTTGGACAGAAGGGAATCCTCAAGCCATTCCAGCTTCACAATTTTAAGGCCCTTGATTTTGCGAGCCTGTTGGACTGTGAAAGTTGAAATTCACCAGGTGAATAATTCGCCACACCGCTAGTTTTGTTTAGAGAAGAAGAAGTAGAATAAAATACACAACGAAGAAAGCTAGGGAAACCAAGGAGGTATATGGTTATATACCCGTTGCATCGCGCTTCCGGAACGCATCCTTGGTCGTGATAAGATGAGTTGTTGCACCTTTCTCAGGGTGTTTTGAGAAATCACCACCGTTGGCCTCAACCCACTGCTTGATCTTCTCGGAGATTGGCCCGAAATCACCAGCCAGGCTGATGTGTTGCTTGCGGAAAGTCTTCCCCATGTCTTGTGAGAAGCCAAGCAGACCGGGAATAGCGTCTTTTATTTGGATATGGCGGGGGTTTCCTCAAGATTGCAATTTCCTGTCTCAACGCCAAAGTATATGTGGGGAAAGGGGGGAAGAAGTGCGGTAACGGGCGTGCGCTGAGGTTGAAGTGAAAAGTTTTTGAAGAGAAAGGCGCGCGATTCCGATGAAGTGAGTTGAAGAGGCCAAGGTCCGAATGCTGCTAAAATGGTCATAAGATGAAGATTATAAAAACGTTAATTGTATGATACGGTTAACTGGTATGAAGAGTGAAACCATAAAAGGTCAAGGCTGGTTGAGAGGGATCTCTAAACAATATAAAAATCGGCAATGAAGCACAGGTCACAGGGCTGGGAGCTGTGTAACTGAATTTTTATTCTGTTTTTTATATTAAGGACATGAAGTTCAATATATAAAATGATCAGTCTCATATCATCAAGTCCTGAAAGCTTTAGCAGCTTTCACAAAAGCCCTTATCTTTTCCAGGTCCTGTGATCCGTCTGACTCAACTCCGCTGCTAACATCAACGCCCACCACGCGGTCTCCATATCGACCTAGCTGCTGAAGCGTGTCGGCAACATTCAAGGGGTCCAATCCACCAGCAAGTATCACCCGAAGGCTGTCACTTTTCTTAATGGAGTCCTGTACACACGAAATGTCGAGTTTCTCACCCGAGCCGCCAGCACCAGAATCTAAGAGGGGAAGTGTATGGTAGGCATGTCGTGATAACCCTGGCTCGTTGGGAGAAAATTTCTTTATTACTGGAACAGGTATTAGGCTCGCCCACTCTATCGGCTCCGACCCGTGGAGTTGAACGACGTCAAGCTCAAGCTTTTGTTGTTGGGAAATAATATACGATAGCGGTTGATTCAAAAACACGCCCACCAGCAATGCACGGCGAGGATGGCAGAGTATTTGGGACGAATAGTCAAAATAGTCGACAGAGGAAGTATCGTTGATGCATTCCTGTATTCCACTTACCGTGGATGCTGGACGAGGCGTTGATTTAACCACTTTAGATATCTCCAGAGCAGTATCATCCGAGACCGTTCTAGTGCGCCCCTTCGCCATTATTATGCCAATTAGATCAGCGCCGGATGCAATCGCTGTGCGCGCGGC